GATTTTTAAATTCTCAATTAACAATTAAACATGGAGTATTAAAGCAGTCCTTAAGCTTTAAGTAGGTGTGGAAAGTAGTTTATGACTTGCGGGAGATGTTTCCATCTTTTCCTCATCCTCTCAGTGTGTTTTTGCACTCTAAAGGGGGACTATTTCTGATGGTGATCTTAATGGAAAGAAATGAAAACATCACTTCTGATTGCAGAAGTAACGGGTGCAAAGGGTGATCAGAGCACTGGCCGGCTTAAAACATCCCCTGAGGAGATGGTTTGGCCCACCCATTTTTATCCATTTAAAATGTTTAAGCTTCAAGTAACAGAAAACTCAACTCAAAATGGCTTTGCAGATAAGAAGAAGCCAGGCCTAGTGGTGTAGGCCTCTGGTCCCAGCACTCTGGGAGGCTGAAATAGGAGGATTATGAGTTCAAGCCCAGGCTCGGCAACAGTGACTTAATAAGACCTTGACTCAAAGACAAAGAAAAAGAAAAAGAAAAAAGCTGTTCAGTGTGAAGGCCCCGGGTTGAACACCTAATGCTAAGGTAAAAAGAAGAAAAGAACTAAATTATTATCTCAGCTGTCTGAAAGTTCAAAGATTGTTCTGGGTGCAGACAAGGCTTAATCCGATGGCTTAGTGGCACCACCAAGGAAGGACCCTATGTCTGTGCAGAATGTGGGCTCCATTCTAAGACTGGCTACCCTCAGGGGTGCAAGATGTCTGCCTGGAGCTCCTGGAGTTTGCCAAAGCAATAGAAAGAGAGAACATCTCACCCAGCAGTGTTTTCAGAAGAGCATAAAGCTCCTTTTGGAAGGCCTCAGTAATGCCTCCTAGCATATGATTGGCTGCTGTCGGTCATGTGTCTTAGCATATCATTGGCTGCTGTGGGTCATGTGTCTGACCTGAACCAATGGTAGTGGCCAGGGCATGGCACTGGTAGTCAGGGGCTCACTTTGTAGGTGAGGGTAGAATCCCTCTCAGTGAGTCTTGCAAGGTACAGAATGTGGGAAGGGCAGTCCCTGAAAGGAAGTCCCACTAACAGCCAACCACGGATGTCCACTCTTACTGCTTTTCCATAAATTTAACACTGCAGATTTTTGCATCACCTGGGATGACTGAATCTCACCCAGAGTGACCATTTTTGTGCCCACTGAGGTGGAAACAAGCACAGATCTCACTGCACGATGGTGCACCGGTCACATCTGGCTTTGAACCCAGTTTTGCTACTTCTGGGCGGTGTGACATAAAATAGGGATGAAAATATTTACATTAGACAGTAGTTGTGAAATAAGAAATGTAGGACACCTGCCACATGGTAACCTTTCAAAAAGTGAAAGCTTTTTTTTTTTAACCTAAAAATGACTGCAGTAGTAAAATGTATCCTGGCACAGCAAATCAGCCTTCTAACTCACCTTCGAATTTGGAAGCCCTCCCTTCTCGCCATTTCTGTACCACCAGCTGATTCAAAGCCCCAGCACTTTGCGTGGCACCCCACACTCTACCCCCTGAAGGAGCCGGGGTGGTGAGGAGCACTTGCCCAGGGGTCAGAGCAGCCTGAGAGCTCCTGCGGTTTTGCAGTGTGACTTAAAAGCCCCTTCCCTCTCCTGCTACACGAGGCGTTTGTCCTAGATAGTCCATATGGCCTCTTTGCATGCCGACGGTGCTGCTGCGTTTTCCAGGTCACTGTCTTGCCCTTTTGACTTCACGCCACTCTTCATTTCTTTAGGGTTATCAGAAGCGTCTAGAAAGCAGAACCACCTGGGCAGGTCCTTTGGTTTTTTTTCTTTTCTACTTGATCTTAGCTAAAAGACTGAGAAGCAATCCCTTGGTTTTCTTTTGAACACCATCAAAAGACTGTCTGATGGGGAGATTAGAGGCCAATAGATTATTTTACTTAATACACCACTGACAATTCAGGAAAGAAGCTGCTAAAATAAGGGTTTTGGTGAGACTGATATTGAGAATATTCTAATTTGTATTCCTCCTCCTTCCTTTCCCATCTTCTACATACACACATGCACACACACACACACACACACACACACACATGTAGATTTGGAATTTGGTTGGGAAAGCTAACTCTGTAGTAGCTTTAGTATTAAACTGAATGCCCCAGTAGCTTCCCGAGAGATATCCTGAATTCCTGCCAGGCCAATATCTGTTCCTGCCTGCTGTAGAGTGCATGCCTGTAATCGCAGCACTCTGGGAAGCTGAGGCAGAAGGATCACAAGTGCAAGCCCCAGTTGGGCAACTCAGGGTGTGTATGACACAATCTGATTGCCACACCCTGGCCAACCAGTGTGTGTATTCCAAAGCCAGTGAGCCTGCCCTTTGCTGCATCACCTGTGTTGGCTTAGAAAAGTGCTAACAGCTGCAGCTTGCCTTTTCCTCTTTTCTAGATAAATATTTTGCCTAAATATTTATCTTGTACCGAGCTGTGGAGTAAATAGGAACTGAGCATTCCAAGCATGGGATGCATATCTCAAGATTCCACGCTGGTTTCTTCTCCTGAGCGGTGGATCTGGACCTCATCCAGATCTTGAGCAAGGTTCTGAAATCCTCAGAGGCCCAATTTCATTGCTTATCTACCACACACGGTTGACGGTGGGGCAGTCAATGGAATTGAGATATGAAGGAGTCTACTACAGGGTCTGACACAAAACCAGAATTTAAAAAAGAAAACAAAAAACCACATTTGAAAGGGCTAGGGATGTGCCTCAGTGCAAAGGCCCTTGGTTCAATCCCTATACTGAGCACCTCCCCAACAAAAAAATCCTTTGCCTCAAAATTACACTTTCGTGACAGAAAAAGAGAGTGCTGAGAGGCAAGGACCATGCTTGGTACAGAAGCACTTCTAGGATACATGGGTCAAGCTAATGGAGATCCTATACCTTCTGCAGATACCTTGGAACCCAGGGCCTTCACACTGAGCTACAGGACTCACTGGAGCATTTTATTGTTTATTTTGAGACAAGGTCTCACTAAGTTGCCCAGTGTGGGCTGGAATTTGCCTCAGCCTCCTGAGTGCTGGGATGACAGGTGTGTACCCTCACACACAACTGCTACATTTTTAAAGTATATATGACCTGAACTCAGATCAGACTGCATTGAAACCACTAAGACCAGTCCAAATGGGCTCAGACTGGCTGGAGCCAGCTCAGACCAGCCAGAACAGTCTCAGACTGCCCAGAATAAACCCAACCCAGCTGAAACTGGCTCAAACTGTACCTAACTGGATCAGGCTGATTGAAACCAAATCACAGCAACAGGAACTGGAGAAGACCAGCTGGAACCAAATCAGACTGCCTCAAACCTGCTCAGACTGGGCAAAACTAGATCAGATCACCTCCCAAATCAGATCCAACTGGCCAAACCAGATAAGACCGGCCAGAAAAGGAAGGAACCAGCACAGACCAGCCAGAACCACTTCAAGCCAACCAGAACTCGATAAAAACACCTGGAACTAGATAACACTGGCTCAGACTGACTGGAACCATATAGAACTGGCTCAGAGCAGCCATAACCAGATCGGACCAGCCACAACTGGTTCATACTAACCAAAACCTGCACTTTGTTTTCCACATCACAGGACAGACTTGATAATCAGGAAACAGAAGTCACAGATGACCACAGTCTTGACGGTGACTGGACAGAACTCACATTCTGGGCCATGCCAGTTCTTCAGGGCTTGTATCACCCATTTGCCCTGTTGACAGAAAAGGCTGGAGAGGCGGCGGGGGC